ACTTCCTGAGGAAGTGACTCTGAGCGGAGGCTTGCAGGAGGAGTAAAATCCTCTTAGGTATTTTAAACTAGATAAAGTAGGGGGCAGCATTTGAGGCACAGGGAATAGCCCATGAGGAAACTTGCTGAGACAGGAGCAGGGACCTGAGGGGAGAGGCATGTGTGTCAGGAAGAGTAAGTAGGATGATGAAGAGACAGGAGGGCAGACTCTGGAGGACCTGGTAAGCAGTAGGAAGGATGCCAGGCTTTTTCCCAAGGGAAATGCAAAATCATCAAAGCATTTTAATCAGAGAAATTTGATTTAATGTTCAAAGATCACTTTTATTGCCTGTGGAGAATGGAAGACATTATTTCCCATTAGGGTCTGAAGGGACAGGGCCTGATAGTGGATTGGAGTGTGAGGGTATGGAGGAGAAAGAGGCTCAAAACATGACTCCAAGGTTTCTGGCCTGAGAAAGTATTTGCTGAAAAAAGGACCACTGGAGAAGGAGCAGTTTGGGGAGGTAGACGATGAGTTCAGATTTGGGCACTCCAGAGTTGAAAGTGCCTGCAGGATATCCAAGAGGAGACGCCTATTAGGCAGTTGTATTTATGGGTGGAGATCCCAGGAGAGAAGTCTGGGCATATAAACAGTAAATGACCCAACAAATAATTAGCATGGTTTATGGCATAGTTAAATCTTTTTATATCTCTTTCATCTGCTTTTTGTCTCTCAGTAGCTGAATCCTGTTCCTGTCATTAACAGATGGGCTCTCTTCTGATGCTGACCAACACTTAGGAAAAAAAAAAAAAAATGTTTTGCTTATTGCCTTGAACTTCACCTTTAATATGCAAACACAGAATCTCACCAAAGCAAACTCTGAGACTGCCAGTATATTTTTTTAAACGAGTCTATGAAAGTTTAGGTCTGAATGCAATCCAAACTCCCTCATTATACAAATAGAAAACCGTGGCCAGTGTGGTTTTGAATTTCACAAGGTTACATAGCTGGGCAGTTACAGAATTGGCCCTAGAATTCAGGACCATGTACTGACTGGGCAGTCTTATTTCCACTACCTTTTACTGCTTCCCCCTCTTATTGAATAGCTGCTGTCTTCAGAGTAGCAAATACTAATTATTTGTTTCTTAAGGACGTGGAACAGTGCCTACTCTGTTTGGTGTCAGAGCCCTGAGGGCTGGAATTGTCTTTTTATAGAGTATTTATTCCAATGATAAGAAATTCCAAAGGAAAATTTTGATTTCTTATGAACACTTTGAAACTTCTCATGGTTCATGAACCCCTTTGGCTCTCTAATGAGTGGATAACTCTATGGCTGTGTATATAATAATACAATTTTACATACAGTTTCAGGAACTCCATAGATTCCAAGTTAATGAACTCCTGTCATACATTTGGGCTATTTTCAAGGAACTGTGAACCAGTTTTTCTAGAAAGAAGTTCAGTAATTTCCTGATTCTCCCAAATGAGTATCACTGTGTTCAAGAGATTGAATAGTAGTTCAGTTAATTTCCCAGATACCTTACAGACAGTTCATGTGTGCTAATCCATTAGTCACTATTGACTAATTTAATGTCCATGTCAGTGACACACTCTCTAAAGGTTTTATTTTTTAAATTTTTTAATTTTTATTTAAAGATTTTATTTATTTGAGAGAGTGAGAGAGCAGGGGGAGGGGCAGAAGCAGAGGGAGAAGCAGACTCTCCGCTGAGCAGGCTCCCCCCTCTAGAGGCTTTAAAAGGTGGTTATTAAGTGGTGCTGAATTAGAGAGGTAGAAATCTGTTGATGCTTCAGTAGAAACTTTATATCCTCTTAGCATTCTTAAAATTAATAACCCAGTTAGATGTTGTTTAAGCCCTGACAAAGGAAAGGACGATCCTTTGCCCCAAAGTCAGGGCAAAGAGAAGCCTGTTTTATTGGTGCTAACCTATTTTTGATGTATCTAATTTAAAATGAAAGGGGAGAAGAGAAGATACAAACCACCATCCTCACTTTTAACCCCTGCCAAGGCAAACAACAACAACAGCAACAACATATAGAGAGAACATATGCAGGGATTATAATGTGGTGTCCAGAGGAGGGGGACAGCTTTAACCCTGAGTCCCCCTTTGGTCGTGTGGAGCTGGGGGTAGAACACCGCCCCCCCCCACCTTGCCCCACACCAGGTTCTTCCCAGCCGCCTCCTTCACTCTCTACTTATCTGACATTTTCGTCCCCTTCATTTCTTTAGCACCTGGAAATTCTCCCAGGCTCTAGCTCTTCCTGCTCAGGATGAATTTCTAGCCAGCCAAGATCCCTCCTTTTCCTTATTCACAAGTTTCTTTAAAATCTTGTTGCTCCAGTGGAACTTCTCCTGACAAATTGGCACCTTTTTGTTACAAACTCTTTTCTTAGCACTATCTAAAATGATATTACTTGTGTGCCCTTGCTAGAATGAAAACCTCATGAGAGCTGGGATCTTACGAGTCACATTTACCACTTTACCTCCATTACCCAGGACAATGCCTGGGGCCTGGTTTTGGCAGGTGCACAGTAAATATTTGAATGAAGGAATGAATATCTTCCCCATAAAGTCCCCAAGGACACTGACAGTGTGTGGCGGCAGAGACCAGTTTTTATTAAAGGATAGTCTGGCGGCTAGCCTTCCACGCAGAACCCAGTCACATAGCCTCCTCAGAGCACTGCCTCATGGTTTCCCTTCACTCTAGAACTTCGTGTGGTTACCCAGAAGCCACACTGAACTGAGCTCTAAATCATTTTGCCAGCTGAAGAAAGTTTCCTCTCTGTCAGGGACTTAAGCAGAGTGGCTGAGAGGTTTGGCTGTGGAGCCAGACTGCCTGGTCAGATCTTCCTGGCTGTGTGACTCTGGCAGTTTCCTGATCCTGTATGGGGCTGGGTATATTCACCTGTATATTGAGGCTACCAGTAACACCTGTTTTGTGGGGTTATTTTGAGGATTAAATGAGTTGCTATAGGTAATGGGTTAGGAACCATTCTAAGACATATTTGCTCAATAGATGTAGGCAGGATAATGACGATAATGGAGGTGGTGGTGTTTGGCCAGTAATGTCAAAGGGTGAGTATTTTTCGGCTTTGTTTTTAATCTGGTCATTCCATTTTCTTAACCATTCTTATATCATTGCTTTCTGAAGAACCAAGTAATCTCTTAGAAATACTTTTTAAAATATTCACAGTAAGTAATTTTTAAAAGATAACTTATTAAGAAACATAATTTGATTCCTTATATTAGTTTCATTATTATGCAAAGTTTATTTCCATGAGGATACTGAGTAGGTGTTCCTTCCCCAGGATCTGTGTAAAATACATATCTATTTGAAGTATTTCTATAATACTGCCCTTCATATGTGAATCTTCCTCACGTATTTTCTGGAGGAAAAGATTAATAAAATACTATGTTATGATAAAATCAAGTGGTGCCTAGGTGGCTCAGTCAGTTAAGCATCTGCCTTTGGCTCAGGGTCCTGGGATTGAGCCTCACATCAGGCTCCCTGCTCAGTGGGGAGTGTGCTTCTCCTTCTCCCTCTGTGCTCTCTCTCTCTCTCTCTCTCTCAAGTAAATAATAAAATCTTTAAAAAATAAAATAAAATAAAATTCTGGAAAATAACCTTGCAAGGAAATGCCTTCCATGCTGGGTAGTTCAGCTTTTATTTTGTTTTATTATTATTATTTTTTTAAGATTTTATTTATTTGTCAGAGAGAGAGAGAGAGAGAGCATGAACAGAGGGAGAAGCAGGCTCCATACTGAGCAAGGAGCTTGATGCAGGGCTCGATCCCAGGACCCTGGGGGTCATGACCTGAGCCAAAGGCAGACTCTTAACCGACCGAACCACCCAGGTGTCCCACTTTCCAGAATTTTAAAAGATTATTTCACATAGAACTGAATTATGCTTCTACGTCCCTTTTCTTTATACGGTAAGTCCACAAATGACAGATTCAAAGTTTCTGTCAGGAGGAATTATTTTTCGGTCAGCCTTAGGAACAGAGAGGGAGAAGAGGAGTGAGAGAGAGAACAACAAAAAAGCCCTTCAGTTACAATCCACACCCTTAACTGATGACCTTTATAGTCGTCAGGGCATAGAGGGAAAGTACAAAGAAAATTGAAACATAATCAGACTATGACCTAAGTCTGTCTTTTTGGTTTTTGTTATTGCTGAAGTAGTAATAATAAAAATACTATTCATAGTTTCCTAATAGTCCAAATTTTTTTTTTCTTGGTCTCCTGTTCTTCTATCTGTTTTTCCCTTACCACTTAGGGGAAAAAGAATGAACCTCAGAAAGGTTCTTAAGGGAAGAGAGTGTATAAAAGCAGTAGATGAGATGTCTGAGAATTGTCTCATTTGTTTTTTAATGGGTCATGTGGGTGATAGGTGTGTCCATGAATCAGGACCTTCAGTTGTGTATAAATGAGCTATCCACTGGAGATTTCCGGCCTCCGGAAGTCCAGGAAGTTACAGGCTTACGGAGTTGATTCTTTTGTTGGTGGTGTCATTTAATTTAAACTCTCAACACGCCAATCCATTTCTTCCAGAAAGCTTCAGTACAGGGTTAGTGGGATGAATAGTAAAGGCTCTCGTAGGTCGTAAGGATAATACCAGAAAATGACAAAAATAGAAGAAAGAGATAAAGAATACTTAAAAAAAAAAAAAAAGCCAAGGTACTTGGCTTGGGGGAGTGCAGAGTTGAATCAAAGACCTAGAACAAGTGCCGTAAAACTAAATCATTTAAATCAAGTAATAAAAGGAAAAAAGAAAATTGGTTGGTCTGTATAGTATATTTTGATATGGTCTGTCATTGTCATTTGTCACGCTTATTTTTAGTTAGAAAGATGGTTGTAGAATATGACTTTGCTGCATGGTGTGGTAACTGTGGTCTCTGGTATTTAATATGTACAGCTGGACGTGTGCGCTGTGTGTGTGTGTAGGGGGTGTGGGTGATTGTCAGGAGGCTTTCACAGAGACAGTTTTCTTTCTTGCGCTTTCTAGATTTTCACCTGATGGAAGGCTAATTGTATCATGTAGTGAAGATAAAACTATTAAAATTTGGGATACCACCAATAAGCAGTGTGTTAATAACTTCTCAGATTCTGTAGGGTAAGTCCATTCTCTTTGTGCATTTATATGGGTTAGTTTGCTAAGGAGACATTTCGTTATTAAAATTCAAATAAAGAAATGAAGGGAAAGAATCCAGAATATTAGGCTATCTTATTCTTTCCTCCTAGGTTTGCAAATTTTGTGGATTTTAACCCTAATGGTACATGCATAGCATCGGCAGGTTCTGATCACACCGTGAAACTCTGGGATGTAAGAGTAAACAAGTTGCTCCAGCATTATCAAGGTAACAATTTCCATGACAACAAAATCCAGTTGATGCCAGGCCTCTTCCAGGAAACTCTTAAGCTGGCAGCCCATGCTTTTCAGTGTGGTTTGGCCCTCTTTAAGAGTCAGGGGGCTGCCTTTGAACTGACTGGAGAACAGTTCGTTCCATCAACAGCATGGTCTGAGAAGTGTCAGAGTGCAGAGGGAGGTGGGGGGACCTTAAAAATGATGCAGGGCTGTGAAAAAATAAGTTGCTGTGAGATGTTCACAGGTTGGCTCTCTGCATATTGTGAGAGGTCTGGGATAGAAATGGACTCTGAATTTGAAATCAGAAGGACTTCTGTGAGCACAAGTAGGTGTTACAACTGATAGAAAACAACATCCGACTGGGCGGGTGTATTGAAACTAGAAATGAATTGATTTCTTGGTTTGTACTGGATTTATATTAAATTCACATTTCCCTTTTAAAGTAAGTATAAAACTTACCATGGAACAAACACTGTGCTAAATCCTTACAACAACCCCGGGAAGTATTATTATTATTATTGCTCCCGTTTTACAGATAAGGAAACTGAAGCTTAAGGAGAGTAAGTAACTTGCTAAAATAATTGATAGAACTAGCTTAGGGGGTTTTCTGTTTACGAAGTACGTGGAAGAACAGCCGTCTGATGGCTGTGTCGTGCTGCCTCCTGTTGGAAAGATGGTGTCCAGGAATAAATTCTCGGACAAGCTAGCAAGACTACGCACTTCTGCAGATAGACCTCCACACTCTTCACCCCCGAGCCTCAAACCACTAATTGGTTATGAAATTTCGTTTAAGGCTAGGTTGTCTGTGAGCCGGTGGCAATCCACTGTTGGTTATATTATGTTGGTAAAGTATCTGAAGAGTTCACAGTTATGTGGTTAGTGAGCTCATCCTTCCATGACACACACTTCCACTTTTAAAAGCTATGCTGTCTCATTAGCTGGAAGTTGAAGCTGTATGATGACAAGCTGCTTACTTGTTTTAGTGAGCTATATGGAATTTTGGTGTTGTGGAGGCATTGTCTTTAACTGATTGTTGTTTCCAACCTAATATTGCTAATAGGGGCAAAGAGACATCTTTAGAATTAAAATTTGTTCTCTGAACTCTTTGCTTTTATTTTCTATGAATCAGTTCACAGTGGCGGAGTTAATTGTGTATCCTTCCATCCTTCGGGCAACTACCTCATCACTGCTTCTTCAGATGGCACACTTAAGATTCTGGATCTCTTAGAAGGAAGGCTCATATATACACTTCAAGGACATACGGTATTAACACTGAGATTTGTACTTTTTAAATAATATATATTTTAAAGTGTTGATCCATTTTATTATATATCTTTATTATCTTTCCAGGTGTAATACACATTACCGCTATCACACACACAAAATATGTTTGCTTTCAGGGCTTTGTTTTTATCCTCTGGAAGCAACTCTTAGAAATACTACTTATTGTAATTCTTATCAAAATCAATGTGCATCTTTCAATGGCCATTAAATTAATCCTCCACTGCTGTCTTCCTCACTACGTAGTGTAGGTTTGACTGGTCAGATGGCAATGGGTAAGCGTTTTCCTTACTTCTGATCTTTCCCCTCCGGTGGAGGCTGTGTCCCATAGCTCTGACACTGATCCTCTCACACCCTCTCATGCACTCCCTTTCATTAATCTGATTGGTGAGTTTAGAAGGAGAAAGTCAACAAGGAGAGCCCAGTGCCTTCTCTTAGGAACCCGTCCTTAGTGGTTTTCTCTGATATTTCTTGTGGACATGCCTGCCCTTGTCTGGTCTTGCCTGTGACAGGGTACTCATATGTAACTCATTCTGGGATTCAGTTCTTCAGCTCATTTGCCCACAGATAAAGCCACATTTTCTCTTTACAAGCCTTTATCAGTAAGAAAGATGACATTCCTATGTGTTAATTTTTAATTGATTTAGAACCCAATGAGGAGGCTTGCTATTTATTGAGCCAGTTCACACACACACACACACACACACACACACACACTCACACACACACACACACACACACACCCCAGCATATAATGCACTAAATAAAAACTTTTTAAGTGTATAAACTATTCCTCCTTTCTGGGTAAATATTCAAACTTCTCTAAATTTTTTAGAATGCATCCTGCATCCTCTTTTTTTTTTTTTTTTTTTTTAAAGATGTACTAGGTACTTCCTTTTAACCAAGTGTGAGCTGTTTATCTCCAGAAATAGAATAGGCTTTGAGAAGGGGTTCTTTCTGCCTTCATATATCCTGCCTGGCTTCCTGCTTTGCTTTATCATTTGTTCTGCAGCTGTGTTAGAGCAAAGCAGAAATAGACACTAACCAGCTCAGATATATGCATATCCATAGATTTAGGCTGAGTAAACAACCAATAAAAGTGGTCAAGGATTAAAAAAATCCATGGAATAACATAGAATAATAATAATACAGAATAATAGAAAAAATATAATATTTTAGGAGAAAAACAGTGTACACGAAGATGGAATTTTTCATGGTCTAGAGTAAAGATGTTTAAGAGGCTATAATAACCGAAGTCTGTGTGATGATCTACTTGAAAAGTACAAAATGGTTCCCCCCCTAATTTTTCTTATACTGATCAAGGACATTAAGAACAAACAATATACTAATATTTTTGAGATGAGAAAGAATTATTCTTATCTTGACTGAAAAATTGACCTAGAGGCTATGCATCTGTGATTTGTCCAACTCCACAGTCATTGCTTAATTTCAGGTTCTCACTACCTCTCACCTTGATAATTGCAGTAATTTCTTAACTGGCTGCAACCGTTAATTCTTGCTCCCACTCATCATTCTTCCAGTCGTGATCCCAGTGTGCCACAGTCCCAGCTCTCCACCTATCTGTGTCCTGCTGGCAAAACTCTCGGTGACTCACTATCGCCCACATGAAGGGAGAGCTCGATGAAGCCCGTTGTGGTCAGGAAATGGCCTTTGTTCACATCACCTTACAGACTTGTCATTCAGTTTCTGCTAGTGATTTGTTGAATAAAGAGTCCAAAACCAGAAAATCTTAACAGACATTCTTATTCACTTACACATGTACAAGCTTTTCTTAAAATGGGAAGAAAGTGTATTTTCATATTTTTATTAGTATTGCTTTTTTTTATCTAGTATCATTTATATGTGTTTTAATATCATGGGTTGGTTCCTTAATTATCTTTACTCTGCTTACATTAGTTGGCAGCGACTGGGTACGTTCCATCAGACTTATTGCATAAATCGTCTACATAGATTAGGATGAAAAATTCATACAGTCTTTCTGGCCATGAGAAAACAATACGAAGTGCTGTTTTGTTTTGTTTTGTTTTGTTTTTAATCTCTGTTTATTTCTTAGGGACCTGTCTTTACCGTTTCATTTTCAAAAGGTGGAGAGCTGTTTAGCTCAGGAGGTGCAGACGCACAGGTTTGTAAATCTTTCAGCTCCTTTGATTTGGTGAGGGTAAAGGCTAAGATTCTTACAACCAGCTCGTTTGTAGATGTTTAGATGATTATCAATGAGTTTATATTTTACTTTCATGCCAGGAAGTCTGCTGTCTCATAGCTGAAATAGTGCCAGTCCTGACACTTTCTGGAACTCAAACTCCAGTTATTTCTTGTGCTCATCTCGACACTTAATTATACTTGGAATTTACTGACTTCCCAGTGCTGGTGTGGCCCTTCCACTTGAGCTCTTCCCTCACCTTTCATCTCTAGGTCTTGTTTTTCAAATGTTAAGCTCCTTGAGGTTGGTAAATATAAATTGTTCATCTAGCAACTCTGCATTTTTGGGGAAATGACCAAAAGTCATTCAGAGGCAAATGTATTGAATGAGGTGGACCGTCAAGCCAAGAACATGTTTTGAACTTTGAAAACATCAGAGAGGATTTTAAAGTAATAAGTTAGTTTCTTAGTATGAATTTTAAATTGGACATGAAGGCCATTCAAAGTGCTAAATCTCTCCCTCCCACCCTTAAAAAAGTAGTATTGGGAAGTAGTAGCACTGTTGGAATATACATATAGCCTTCCTATTTTGAGGCACAATTATTTAAACTGGCTTTTTTTTTTTTTAAATCAGTTCTGTTGCTTTTACATGCAAGTCAGTTTTAAGTGCCAACATATTAATTTTTTATAGGTCTTATTATGGAGGACTAATTTTGATGACTTGAATTGTAAAGACATGATTAAAAGAAATCTCAAAAGGTTACACTTTGATGCATCACCACATCTTGTTGATATATACCCGAGGACACCACATCCCCATGAAGGGAAAATTGAGACTGTTGAAGTGAGTACTTTGCGCCTAGTCATCCTACTGTTTGCAAGTGTACGTTTTGGGGCAATTGGTCAACTAGATGCTTGAAATCATACTTTATTATATAAAACCTAGTTATGTCTTAAAACCGCAGTACTTTGAGAAACAATCATTTATTATGAGAAACAATACAATACAATAACACTATAAATAATGATAGTGTATAATTCTGTCGAAGCTTCTCAGATTCGCTGCTTGAAGGCCTGGAAATAAAGCTTAAAAATTGTGTCAATGATAATAGGAAATGAGAAATCAAACCTAAGGCCTACGGGTGACCTTGAAGCCTGAATTGCTTCATATTCTTGATGTGTTTGGGGAGCATCTGTGATGGCTATCATGAGAACAGGGCTGAAAGGCAAGAGTTTTTATAACAGTTCCTGGAATAGGTATCTTAAAGCCTTTTTATGACCAAAAAAAAAAAAAAAAAAAATCTGTGGACAGTACAAAGAAGAGATTTAGGCATTAAACCTAATCATTGAGACCGTTTTACTATTTGCCTACTTTGCCTACATATATTTTCAAATATATAATTATCTGTTTAGCTGTAGGTTTTTGTTGACAAGTTCCCCTAGGTCCTATAGATTTATTTATTTTTTTAAAGATTTTATTTATTTATTCATGACAGAGAGAGAGAGAGAGAGAGAGAGAGAAGCAGAGGGAGAAGCAGGCTCCCAAGGAGCAGGGAGCCCGATGCGGGACTTGATCCCAGGACCCTGGGATCATGACCTGAGCCGAAGGCAGACGCTTAACCATCTGAGCCACCCAGGCGCCCGGTCCTATAGATTTAAATGTTCTACTCTTTTCAAAGGCAAAATCCATCTTTGCTGGATACTTGGCTCGTGTTTGTCTGTTTCTTTCCATTTTGCATGATTCTTCTTAAGCCCCTTTCTCTTCCAAGAGCTGATATTGGAAATCACTATTACCTATTTATCTGAATTGTTTTTTCATCATCAGCAGAGCCTTGCTTTGCTTTTAGAGTAGCTGTTTTGCGTCCTTAACACTTACTCCTGAGTGGCAGCTCAGTCACCGCACGCACTCTTTATGTGGTGGATCCACATTCCCTTCCACGGTCCCTGTGTCTCCACCGCAATCTGTTCTTTGATTTTGGTTTCTGGTAGTCACAGTGTGCATGTGTGCGTACGTGTGTGTGTGTGTGTGTGCGTGCGTGCGTGCACATTTAAGATTTTAAAACTTTTTTAAGTTTTTTGGATTATTTTCTAGATTTTGTTTAGCCTCGTTTGGGGATTTCTGTCCTCGTTTTTTCTTGGTAGTGTTTATTTTCAGTTCTTTGTTATAATTTTTGTCCTGCCCATCTTCTGACTGTCTTTCCCGTTCTTCTAAACAACGTATGTACCATGTGCTTTACTACTTCTTTGTGCTGTTGTTGTATCATCATGATTATTAATGATTATTGTAGCTTTATTTCTTTGAAAGAAATAATGTAACATAGTTTGTGGTTCATCACATTTTTGTTTCAGTTTCTACAATGATAGATGCATTTGTGGATTCCCTGTGATCACATGTGTTCACATAATGTATATGTGAAATATATTTTAATTTAAGTTCTGTTTTCTTGTTTTACCCCAGCTGGTTTTATTGACTCATGGTGTTTTTTATTCTAGCATTTCTGGGGCTTGGCTGGCCTCGACCCTCAATGTTGCTGCTGCCCTGTCACCCACTCAGCCACCTTTCCAGAGTGGGGGGGGGTAGAGCTGCAGGCTGAGCCCAGGTCTCCTGGCTCCTAATTCAGTGATATTTCCATGACACCACACTACCCCCGCGTTAGACACCCAAGCCATTTTCTCTGTGATTTGCTGTCAGCCCCAGCCCACTTAAGAGTGCTGGACTTTCTTGAAAATGTCAACAAGTTGTCCAAGAAGCTCGGCTCTGACAGAACAGCCAGAAAGCAGTAAAAGCAGCTGGGTTGCTTTGCTTGGCTGGGTCGAGATGACCCAGGCCATCCAAAGTCACTCTCAACCATAATTTTCACATGTACACTTGAAAAATCTATTAAAAACCAAACTTTCATCCTGGAATTAGAGTTCTGTTATCCTATACAGAATGTTGAGCATCGTGACTGAATTTTGTTTGTGGCCTTAAGAATGGCAGCCTCTGTGTACCCAGTTTAAATTATCTGTAAAGCACTCACGGTTGCTTCAATTAAGTACACAGTATGACGTATATTTGTAAAGCATCTTCAGATCATGTAATATAAAATGCCAGAGAAGTGACAGGATGCTGCATATGAACAATCAACTGTTTGCTTTTTTTTTTTTTTTCTAGAAAACTCTTATAGTAAAACCAAGGGTGTTAAGTTTTCCGGACAGAGGACAGCTTTAATATTACAAATAAATGTTAAGTATCAGATTTTTTTAAAGGCTTCAAGTTAATGTCCAAGGACCCCTCGTAGAACCAAGAGACTGTTAGCTTGAAAATATCAACTAGAATGGAAGAGGGTGAATCACTACTATGTCCGTTTATGATCAGTACATTTTACTTTGAACTACGAAATTTGGTGGGTTGATTTTTTTTTTTTCCAAAGGTTTAGGCAAGGTCAGTTTATACATATATGCTACTTGGGAAATATTTGAAAATTAGAAAAAAACTTTTTTGAGATCAGAATTCATGATTAACAGTATAAAAAATATTATTAAAAGATGTAGAAAAAAATGGCTCCCAAATGACCTAGTTAATTTCCCTAAGTTGCTCTTTTTATAGTAACCATGAGTATTCCATTTCTGAGTTTGAAGCAACATAGTATTCCTTTGGTTTATATTTTTGTGTATTTTCTGTGAGGCTCATTTGAGTGGCATAACCTCAGTCTTCTGGGTGAAATCGTTTGACCTTTTGTGAAAGCCACCCATTTGCCAGCTTTAGGTGCTTTGCTTGTTTGAAGGTAGAGTCTTAGACCTTGGGTTCCAGCTGAGGAAATAAGTAAATTACTAATTCTCACATGGATAGAGAGGGCGATAGCAGCTTGCTTTTAGAATAAATGAAAGAAGGCCACATGAAAGAAGGCACACAACATACAGTCCCAGCTCCAGTGGCGTGAGACAGATCCCTCCTGTGTCCTTTCCACTGATCAAACTGCAGATACTTTGTTGTAGCACTTCTGGTCTACACACGCCATCTTTTTTTTTTTTTTTTTAATATGTATTTTTAAATTTTAAGTAATCTCTACGTCCAACGTGGGACTCGAACCTACACCCCTGAGATCAAGAGTCGCACACCTACTGACTAAGCCGGCTAGGTGCCCCCGAGGCACTCCGTCTTCATTAAAAACGTGAGAACAGCTTCTTTCTTTTTTTAGTGGGAAAGAAGCCCAATTTTAAAACAAGGTATCTTTTTTTTTTTTTTTAAGATTTTATTTATTTATTTGAGAGAGAGAAAGCACAAGCAGGGGGAGAGGCAGAGGGAGAAGCCGACTCCCCACTGAGCTGGAAGCCTGACACGGGGCTCGGTTCCAGGACCCTGGGATCATGACCTGAGCTGAAGGCAGACACTTAACCATCTGAACCACCCAGGCACCCCCAAAACAAGGTATCTTAACCCAGACCACATTGTGCAATGGCACATCGTTAATTCATGCTGTCTTTATCTTCTTCAGACTGGCTTGAGCTGAACTGCACAGTTCTGCCTCCAGACAAAACAAACTTTCCTTCTCGAAGGGGAACTTAATGTGTGTGTAGTACCTTCCTCTTTTGCATATTTTAATGGGAAGACAATAAAGCCATCCTAAGGGTGACAAGCACCAAAACAGTTATTCTAGGAAAATTGCAGAATATTGTAGGAAGGGATTATGGTTAGTTAAAAAGAATTTATTAAATAATTTTTCTGGTGGCTTTTAATTTTATAATAGCCATTTGTGATGAACTTAATCTATAAGTTCTTAATATTGCACAGGAAATTCTGTGTGATATTTAACAGGAAGGAAAAAATCCCTTTAACTTAACCAAATATCTATATAATAATAATTTGTGACAGTCTGGCCATGATTCATTGTTGAAAAATGATCAATTTAAGTCTTCAAGTCTGAGATTGGGTTTTTATCTCAATCTTTTCTTAAGGTTGGAAACATAATTTTGGAAAAAAAATGACCACTTCCCTACAAATCTTGTATTTTATTTCTAGCCATGGCATATGTTTATATGTTTGGGCCTCAATAAATGTTCTCCAGAGATTACATAATAATAATATTAGTAATAATAATATTAAATGCATACAAAGTTATTCTAATTGGCTTACATAATTCGTCATTAAATCTTCCTTTAAAGCTCTATGAAGTACTATTTTTATTCCTTGAGAAATTGAGGCACATGTAAGTTAAAACTTAAAGTTAGTAAGTGGCAGTGCTAGAATTTCAGCCCAGGCTCTCTGGTTCCATTTTGTGCTTTTAACCATTTCGATGTAATGCTTCAAAATAATCAAAATTAAGTGGTAGTCTGTTAACAGATAGTAAGTCTCTATGTGCTGGGCATCGTACTAGCTTCAGAGTATGCAGCAAAGGACAAGATAGGCGGATTCCTTGCCCTTCCGAATTTGTTAGTAGCAGTCCTTGTGCTCATTGGACTCCTCCGTGTGGTGGGTACACAGGGCCTCAGAATGGGGTGGTGCACACGAGGTTTCTCTTCTGCACAAACCCCTCAATGATATGTCCTGGTTCAGTCATAGAGAGAACTCAGCCCCTCAAGACGGCCTGCTCCATTTCAAGGTGAATGTAATTATGACACGGTTCTTCCCTTTAATAAGGACAGAGGGCGAGGAGGGACTGTTAATATTCCTGGAGGGAAGCTAGCAAAGAGCCTCACTGGAAGCATCACCCCCTCCACATATTTTCTTTTGGAGAAGACTGTAAAGTTTTCCTTAGTAAGAATGCCCTGCTCCATTTAATGTATGTGGCAGCAACTTGTTAGTTATATCAAGAGTTTTCCAACTTTGAGAAGTTTACGGATTTCTCTGTGAGAGATACTGTTTCCATGGGATTTAGATTTTTTGAGCAGTTCAAATTTCAGATGGTAAAACCCGGTTGTATTTTTCATAGGTAAATGATTTCATATCTACACTAGGTGGCAGTAGATAAAAGAGAATAAAATGTCTGCAAGCCATCTCTTTGGCTGGCTAGGCTAAGATTGGAAGGAGAGTGATTCATGCTCAGGTTTCTTATCTTGGCCTCCCACGTGGACTCAGAGCTGATAGTAGGAGGCTGTGTTTTCTGCTCTCTGGAGCCAGAAAGAAACAGAGGTGCTGGCAGGCTGCGCGGGTAGGCCCTTACCCTCATCCTGTATGGCACTAACCCCTTTTCTGGGGCGTGGGCATTCCTGGGCACGCACCTCTAACACAAGGGGCTGGATAATTATAAAAGCCTCTTAACGTTTCCAGAACTCTAGCCATACCCATCAAACATGATAAGTGTTCTTGAAATCATTCGGCTCCTCTTCCCACGGGCTCAGCCTTACCACGGTCCTGGACTGTTGCAGTGTTCTCACTGTTACCCGCTGTTTTTCTGGGTACTCCACAGGCCTCTGTCAGATTCACCTTGCTAAAGCACATTGCAGGCTCCAACTTTTCCGTGCCTTCCCAAATTCCTTCACCCTTCCCGATTTGCCCCTTGCCCACCTGTCTTTTTACTGCCCTGTGCAAAAGTATCATGTCAGCATTCTGCCTCTGTGCTCAGGAACGCTCTTTACTTCATCTCTGTCTGGTTTTGTTTTCTAAACCTTTTTTTCAAGGATCCATCTTAAGCCCTTCCTATGTTTCCTCTGTGGAAAAGATTTTCTCCCTAAGTGCCCAGTCAACAGTTTCTTTTCTGAGGTTCTTGTATACTCATTGCTCCTACCTTAATTCATTTGATACAAAGTTCTCCTATCTTTGTTGCCCTTTGTTAACTAATTTGTATTCACAATCTTTAGTAAGTATTTGATGTTGAGGTGGGTTGTTGTTTTTTTTTTTCCTTTGGTCTCCTTGAATTCTGAAGTAACCTCCTTCAGAAGTAATCGCCAATCTAATTATTCCCTTGCTTTCCTTTTTTCATTTACTGTAATATATTTTAATCTATAATTAGATGTTATTTAGTTTTAGGTGGTTTTAAGCTTTATACAAATGAAATCATACTGTGTGTATTTCTTTATAAACTGCTTTTTCACTTAAAATCCTGTGGGGCGCCTGGGTGGCTTAGTCGGTTAAGCATCTGCCTTTTGCTCAGGTCATGATCTCAGGGCCCTGGGATTGAGCCCCACATCAGGCTCTGCACTAAGCAGGGAGTCCACTTGAGATTCTCTCTCTCCCTCTGGCCCTCTCCCCTGCTTATGTGTGTTCTCTCTCTCTCTTTCAAATAAATAAATAAAATCCTTAAAAAAATTTTTAAAATCCTGAGAGTCATACATTTAGATTCTAAATTTGTACAATCATATCTTGTACGTAGTTGTATTTCATATATTTTCACTGCTGTGTAGGATTCCAGTGAATGTACCACAGTAGTAATTACCACGACTTACTTGTCTTATGTGTCTTTTTTACTGTTGATATACATTAGGGGTTTTGGGGTTGTGGCTTTTGTTTTTCACCATTATAAACAGTACTGCTATAAACAAGGCTGGCATCATTGAGTTTTTTCATTTTCAGAACCTAATAGGTGTCAAGTGGCATTTTGCTTTAATCTGCTCTAATTACTAATGTTTCTGTAAATCTCTCCATATGCTGATGAACTGTTAGGTTTTCTCTTCCATAATTTTTTTCTTGGGATCAGTGTCTTTCCCATTGATTTGTAGATGTGTAAGAAAAACCTACTTTTCCAGTTTTAGACATAATCTATCTCCTTTTCCATGATCTGATTGTTAACTTTGTGGTGTCCATTGTTAATTGCCTTTAGAGATGCTAAGAGATTCTTAATTTTGATGTCATCAGATGCATCAGGTTTTTAAAAATTCAGTGTTGTTGTTATTTTTTGCCTTAGGGTTTGCTTTTGTGGCTCTTGTTAAGATGTCCTTCTTGACCCCATGTGACAAAGATATTCTTTACATTTACCTTATAGTTTATAACTTCCTAGTTTTTTTAAGATTTTATTTTTTTATTTGAGAGAGAGAGAAGGAGAAACAGTGAGAGAGTACAAGCAGGGAGGAGAGGGAGAAGCGGGCTCCCCACAGAGCAAGGAGCCCAATGTGGGGCTCGATCGCAGGATCCTGGGATCATGACCTGAGCCGAAGGCAGATGCTGAACTGACTGAGCCACCCAGGCGCCCCTGTAACTTCCTAGTTTTAACATAACATTTAGGTTTTATAACCTATCTACTGTCCACTTTTGTATGTCATATAGTGAGCCAGTTTTCTTAACTATAATCATCCTTCCTGTATTGATTTGTGGCGCTATTTTCTTTTGTATTTATTTTCCATGTATGTAGGGTGCTGTTTCTGAGCTCTTTATGATATAGCATTCTATTTAGTTAAGTCTTTTTAAATATCTTTTACATTAGTTTTATTATTTTTCCCAAGAGATCTTATACATCTTTGTATTTTTATTGTGATGTATTTAAATTTTTAATGGTATTTTAAATGATGTCTTTTTATTCTTTTTTAAAAAATGTTTTATTATTGTTTTCAATGTAAGCTCTACGCCCAACGTGGGGCTTGAACTCACCACCCCAAGATCAAGAGTCGCATACTCTACTGACTGAGCCAGCAAGGCACCCTATAAATGATGTCTTTTTAAAATTTACATTTTCTGTGTACTGAAGTACAGACATACATTTGATTTTGTGTATGGATTTTGGATCTCATGAATTCTCTTACTAGTTCTAATGATTTAGCAGTAGATTCTCTTGGAATTTCTCCATAGATAATTACATATGAGTGACAAGTTTTATTTCTTCTGTTCCAATTCTTACATCTTACACTTTTTCTTTCCTTTTCTTGTTTTAATGAACTGGCTAGGACTTTTTTCTGCATCTTTTGAGGTGGGTCATTTTATTTTATTTTAAAAATCCCTTTATAAAGGTGAATTATGTTGATTTTCTAATGTAAAATCAACTTTTTATTCCTGGGATGAATTCAGCTTGGTCATAATGATCTTTTCTTATACATTGATAGATTTGATAGGCTAATATTATGTTTAAAATGTTTGCATCCATGTTTATAAATATAGCAATATATTTTAATTTTAGAATGTATTAGGAAATACCCTCTAGGTTGTTACAAATAGCATCCCTGTTTTTTATGGTAGGAAAAAAACTAATGTTCATTTTTCTTATATATATACACAGATTAATCCAAAGCTTGAGGTAATTGATTTGCAGACTTCTTCTCCCCCTGTTGTGGACGTCCTTTCTTTTGATTCTACCACAGTAAGTTTTCTTTGACATTTAAATGGCATTTGATTATTTGGCAAAATCCATTTTCCTTAAAAAGCGTGTGGGAGAGGAGATAAAAAGTGGGCTAAATAGCCTAATATTTTAGCATTAAAAAAAAATTTGTATGAAAAGTCATATTTACAATGTGTCTAAATAGCCACAAGGGGGAGCAGCACCAATTTTCAGAAAAGCCTTTACTTTGATGACCTTAAACTCAGTCTAACCCATCCTCACTGTCTCATTCCCTATTAAGGTGCCATCCAGGTGACATTTCACTTTGTTGTCACAGAACAGATTTTCTTCTCTGTTAATTGCCTTTCAGAGATGCTAAACTCACTTCTAGTTTTCTTCTGAGAAGCTGTAAAAAAGCAGTCATTTCTCTTCGTTCATCCCTCTTGATGGATTATCCAGAGATTAAGTATTTCTAGTATTTGCAATTTTGGTTATAAAAACTATATACATATAATTTATTTACTCAGTGTAAAGTCAGAGATTGAGAGTTTCAGCCTTTCAATCTGAGTCTGTTAGCCTTTGCAAGGCAGCTCATTGCTCTCATCGATTCCTGCTACTCAGGGCAAAACTAGTCATAAGAATGAATAGGAAGAATGGCATGCATGGTCTTTGGTCACACTACTGTGATGGTGTCAGTGTAGTTAAATATTTTGGAGAAATTATTGTGTGGCCAAGAAAGAAAACAAATAAAAACACTTGACATTATGACATTACACCCTTTCCAGCAGATCTCAAGAATGGTATTTTTGGTAGAGGAATTCTGTAGAGGGACTAGTCCATGTTGAATCTATCCTGTACCAGAAAGCACTGTACTTATTAAGCGTTCTTTCACTGTTAATCCCAGGCAGAGAAGACTCACAGATCACTCATGAGAAGTTCCAGCGACAAGAAGTCACCCCGGGTTGGGGTGGGGGAGGGGCGGTAACCAACAGGCTGATTGTCATGCAGAGTTGTCACAGAACCTCAAGCAGGTCTGTGGTCCTGTCTCTTATAGTATTCATGTTTATAAAATATCCTTCTTAGCACTTCTGCATTAATAGCTTACTTATGACATTAAAAATTAACTGGACATCTAATTCTTGCCACATTGATTGGTGGCTTATAATAGGTACTTAATACATTTATGTTCAATGACTTACTCAACAAGCATAAATTCAGATAAGATGGCTTTTTGCCCCTGTAGTAAGAGGAGCAAAAGAGAGGTGATTTTTGAGATATGATGCCTTCTTATGAGGCTATTAGTCTACGGAATTTGGGTATTCCTGGCTTAGAAGTTATCACAGATCATCAAAAGTCTTTGGTCTACATTTTGAGACTCACTCTCCCTGCTGGTACCTTTGAAGTTTTGCGAAGCCTCATGAACTGAAGAACCCAGATGTTTATTTTACAGTATGCTATGCAAGTGGCATATTTACCACGTAGCAAGTGCTAGCAGGCTTATCTATCCCTGGATGGTGATCCAAAGGTGCCCAAGTCAGCCAGTCCATGTTATAGGACCCTGACTCAGGGACTACAATGTATATGGGACTTTGAGAGGACAATCCTGTATGATAAACACATGACAAGTTTGCAGCTATGCCCATAAAACCTTTAATAAGACTGAAGAGTACAGATACTGTCCACATAAGGATAATATTGGGTTGGATTATATGAAATTGCCATTTTATAGGCAAAAATGGTCTAATGTCAGTGATTTCCCATGGTTCAACCCAACAGAGAAGGATTACAAAGAAGACTCTCTACTGTTACTTAGAGTTGTGTGCTTGATGCTTCATAAAAATAAAACAGAGAAGAAAACACAGGAAAACAAAAACCTACTTGCTATAAATCAGTTTAGGATTAGGCTAATGAAGTCCTGTCCGGGTAGATTCTTTTTTTTTTTTTTAAGATTTTATTTATTTATTTGAGAGAGAGAATGAGAGATAGAGAGCATGAGAGGGAGGAGGGTCAGAGGGAGAAGCAGACTCCCCGCCGAGCAGGGAGCCCAGTGTGGGACTCGATCCCAGGACTCCAGGATCATGACCTGAGCCGAAGGCAGTCGCTTAACCAACTGAGCCATGCAGGCGCCCCAGGTAGATTCTTTTATAATCTGGAAGATAGCTGGTTGCCTCCAGGCAAGGTATAAAGACACCCCTGATTTTATTTATTTTACTAGGACATTCTCTGAAGACATAAATATATGCTCATAAGGCATCTTTTTTATAAATAATATCTCTAAAACTTTTCCCTTTAAATTTTCAATATCTATGTATCTTCCTTTTAGCTCACTGATAGATAATTGGGTAGAAAACTAAAGTGAAATCACTTTAAATGTCCATCTTCTCATTAATCTACTGGTAAGTAATTCTTAATCTGTAGTCCCTGCACACTGGCTGCTTTTCTCTTGCTTCTGCACATCAAATCAGGCATAATTGTAAAGGAGATTTCGTTTCTGCTCTGGCATGAAGCATAACTGCATTGAGTATTTGTGATGTGAACTTTGCATGTGATTATAATTCTAAAACCCAGAGAAATACTAGAAGCCAAAAAACAGTATTTAAAGGTGGCTTTGGTTTTTGTTGTGGTGATTACTCCTTATCTGGGGGATTTATTTGTTCAGTTTTCATAGAAGACTGGAAGAAATTTTCCTTAGAATTCATTCTATCAAGAATGGGACATAAAAAAGATTACTCTTTAAGCCTGAATTTGTCAAATTTCCTAGTAGGATAAAAGCCAGGTTTGTTATAAGAAACAGTTGGCTTCTATTTCTGCTTTGACTTGCTTTAGTATTACATTCAGAATGATTTCTAGATCTGAGAGTACTGATATCTAGGCTCTGACGCTTTCTTACTACAGTCATGGCGTACAGTGTAACAGTTGGTATCTTTGTGGCTTGTGCTTGTGCCTCTAATGGCAGCAGGACATCTGATACAATATTTCGGGATCAAAATAAGCTGTTACCAATTTTTTTTGAGATTTATTTGAGAGAGAGAAAGTAAAAGAGCAGGAGCACAGGGGGCGGGGCAGAGGGAGAGGGAGAAGCAGACTGCTCACTGAGCAGGGAGCCAGATGTGGGGCTCAATCCCAGGACCCTGGGATCATGACCTGAGCGGAAGGCAGACACTTAACTGACTGAGCCACCCAGGTGCTCCACCAATCTGCATTTTTAAAGCTTTGCTGTTAAAAACAAACCAATAAAAACAGAATGAGGGGGCAGTTTGTAAAGGGATATACTGGCTGTCAAATAGATATAATTTTAAAATGTTGATCTCAAATTCCTAAATCTTTATTCTGATTACATTGTTACTTATTAGGTACTGATTTTCTGAGGGTTTTCCAAGATTCCATTGAGTCTTTTTAATATTTTCATTTATTCAGTTAGAACTAGACCAAGATTTTATCATCACAGTTGTACAGCATCATTTAGCATTAGCACCGACGGGGGATGTGGCTATATGGCATGTTCCAGACCCTCCCCTATTCTCACCTCTCTCCTGTAAGGTAGCAAGATAGGAATTTCTCTTCTGTATCCTAACATAAAGTCTTTTTTAAAAACAATACTGACTGTAAACAAAATTTATTTAAAATACTCTAGGATTATTAAAATATTTTATTCTAGGTCAACTATATTCCTAAGTTTTGATGTATTAATTTTACTGTTACTTGTCCTACAAATGAACAAAATGAAATTGATAATCTTGCTAGTGTTCCTCTGACTGATTATCAAAACACTGGACTCTTCACTGAGAACCAAAACAGTGTTCTCATCTTCATTCTGGCAACTGTGTAGAATATGAACTTAATGTGCGTACCTTTCTTTAGAACTGGGGACAGTATTTCAGGTCAAATTAATTCTTTATGATAAATGAGAATTTGCAATTATATGATAGAAAAAAAATCAAGGGTTTACAGTCTTTTGTTGCTCCATCAGTCAAAATATTTAAAATTATAGTACACGAAGACATTACATGAGATGCTCAGTGAGCTGACTTCAAGAAACTTACAACCTAGCCCAATAGAAATAAAAGACGCCTGGGTGGCTCAGTTGGTTAGGCGACTGCCTTAGGCTCAGGTCATGATCCTGGAGTCCCGAGATCGAGTCCCACGTCGGGCTCCCTGCTCGGTGGGGAGTCTGCTTCTCCCTCTGACCCTCCCCCATCTCATGCTCTCTCTCTCTCATTCTCTCTCTCAAATAAATAAATAAATAAAATCTTAAAAAAAAAAAAGAAGTGGCAATTTCAGCATACTAGATGCCAAGTGTATGTAATTGTCATGAAAGCTTATTGATGGAAGTATTCAGGAAAGATGATTAATGGGCTGGAGGAAACTAGAGAATTTCTCTAGAAGGAAACTCTTGAGCGGTTCTTGACCTGACCAGTTGGATAGGATTTTGATTGGGACATTCCAGTTGAGGAAAGCAAGATGTAAGTAGATGTCTCAGAAATAATTGAAAATATATACCCCAATAATAAAAGTGCATCGGTCTAGTTTGGGATCTTTAAGTTGCTTGACTCAGTGGGTACCAGATGTGGTAGAATGCCAGGAACATGCCGACTCACAACATATATGTCTCTTAATCCATACCTGTTGAGTAACTATTCTGTGTCCTTCACTGTTCTTGACTTTAGAAAAAGTGAACGAAACAAAAATACCTGCCCAGGAGAAGCCTGCTTTCTATTTTGTAGTGGGGAAGACAGGCAATTCACAGATTAAAAGGTAGACTGTGTAGTATGGTAGAGCATAGCGTATGTAGACCCCTGCCAAAACACAAAGGCGTAGAAAGCGCTGAAGGCAGACAGGAGCAAGGGTGTGCTTTAGGTAGTATGGCCAGGACAAGTCATGCGAGAGAGGGCCCGTGAGGAATGAAGTGAACAAGCCGTGTGGGTATCTGGGCAGGCGCTCCAGGCAAGTGGGAGCAGTGCCAGAAGGGCAGATTGAGAGTGAGACAGGGGCCACCAGAGGGTTTCCTTCTGAGGTGGAACTTGTTTGACTTAGGTTTTAAT